TTCTTCCATATTTATGTCGGGCATTTCTTCTGAGTTTGCATTTACTATTCGTATTTTGTCTTCCCTTCTCCTTGTGTTTGCTATTTTAGATTCGTACAGATCTCTATAGAAAGATTCCACAACTTTTAGTATCTGTTGTCTGTCTTCTACTATGTTGTGTTTCGCATCTTTTATTTTGGTTATCTCTTTCTTAGGTGTGTTATGTCTTTTAAATATATTTAGTCCTTTGTTCTGTTCTAATAGGGATTGCACTTGTTTCGTTTGATGTTTTAGTATATCCTGTTTCGCCATTTTTCTTGCTGTTTTGTTGGTTTCTGTGTATTCAATAGTGTCTCTTTTACCCTCGGTTATCAGTTTTCTCCTTTTATCTAGTAGCTGTTTCGTTTCTATCGACAGTTTGTCCAGCGTTTTCTCTAGGGGGCCTATTATCTGTTTTGCTGTTTCTGTTATAATTGTTGTTATTCTCCTATTGTTATCATCTAATGACTCTTCTGTTTTTCCTGGATTGTTGGAAAAGTTTTCTTTCAGCCTTTGTTTGTATGTTTCCCTTCTTTCTGCTATCTTTTCTCTACTTCCTCTCTTCGTCGTTTGTTTCATCTTTCTTTTTCTTTCCATTTTTGTATTTATGAGCAGTTTGCATCTTACCATCCTGTGATCACTGCCGGTGTTGAATTGGTTGACTACATCTACGTCTTGGATTATCTGTTTATGGCTGGAGATTATAAAGTCATTCTCATTTTTGGTTTGTCCATCTGGGCTATTCCATGTCCATTTACGTTTGTCTGTCTTTTGGAAGAAAGTGTTCATCAGATAGAGTCTTTCTCTTTCTAGGAAGTTTGCTAACATTCTTCCCCTTTCATTTCTGGTGCCGAGTCCGAACTGTCCTATGTGTGTTTCCGTCGGTTCTGCTCCTCTGCCTATTTTGGCATTAAAGTCTCCTCCTAGAATAGTGTGCGTCGTTCGGTTCTCTCTAATTGCTCTCGCTATGTCTTCGTATACCGTTTCCACCTCGTCATCTTCATTTGAGGAAGTTGGAACATAGGCTTGTATATATTTTAGCGTTATATTTTTATTTATATCGATTACGACATATATTACTCTGTCAGATATTGTTTCCAGGATTTTCAAGTTTGTCGATAGTTTTTTATTTATTAATATTCCAACTCCTCCATTGTTATCATTATCCTTCCCCCTGTAGAGCATAGTATGCCCGGAATCTAGATGGAGGTATTGTTCTCTTTTTCTCCTTGTTTCGGCTAGTCCTACAATGTCCCAGTTTATTTTCTCCAATTCGTACTCTAATTCAACTAGACGTTCCTTAGTTCCGATTGATCTTGTGTTGTAAGTTGCAATGTTTAATAGGCAATTTGTTGTAGTTTTGCGAGGTCCATTTTTATTTTGTGTTTTCTTTATGGATGTCGTTCTTCCTCCCCCAGAATCCATGAGGCTGACCGAGGTATCGGTGTGAGATTGTGAGGTACCTCTACCCACCTGGGGTACTTTTTTTCGTTTTGAAGTCGACATATTTGAAAGGTTTTGGCAATTAAAACACCACGCTCGCCGGGCGTCTTGGTGAGTTTTTGTATCAGCCGCTCCTAACCTGGAGAACAGATGCTGTTTGCAGCCGCCCACTCTGGGTCAGACGCTGCATGGGAATTTTCTTCGTTTCACCTCTTCGAGACCTTATCGGCATGGGTGGCCCTGCCGGTAGCTAGGCTACCGCCGACATCGCTCCCTGGATAAAGGTTACTCAGCCCTCCCACCACGTCAAGGTCAAGATTCCCATAGAGAGGGTGAGTGGTATTCGGCTGGACTATTTCACGAGAACAACAAGCCAAATTTTCATTTGGAAAATTTATTTTTCTACTGACGTTTCATAATAGCAACTTTTCGATTGTCATTTTAGTTTTAAAACAACATTCTTTTAAGCACTGAGTGCGTGAAAGTTACTTTTAAGCACTCAGTGCGTAAAAGTGACTTTTGAATGCGTAAAAGTGACTTTTGAGTGCGTAAAAGTAATTTTTTCTACAAACGTGTTAAAAATGCAATTTTTAACACCCCCTCGAAGCATTAAAAATGTTACTTTATTGCACTAGTGTTAAAAGTCTTTAAGGCACTAGTGTTAAAAATGAAACATCAAAATTTGAAAGCAAACGTCAAAAAAAGTTTGTATTTTTAATTATTTACATTAATATCAATGGTAAAATTTGAACAACTATGAGGAAGCTCCATCGGCCGCCTCCTCTATATTTTTCAAGGGATTGATGCAACCCTCTTTTTCTTGTGTATTTTGTTGCATTTTTAGCAAACAGCTTACTGACCACGACAGACTTTCAAGAAACTGACAAGACATTTCATTACCTGTAAAACAAGGTGCTGGTTGTTTGAATTTTTTGACAAATATCAAATTCAATAATTTTACGTAGGAAAGATGCTTCCAATTTATTATTCATTTAAAAATCCAATTTTTCACTGGTTATTGCTTGTTATTGCCGTTTGTAGAAAAAATATTGTATGATATTTGTGTTAAAAGTATTTTTAAGGCACTTATGTGAATTGCAGAATTCGCTTCGCTCATTCTGCAAACTTTCACATGCGTGCCTTAAAAATGTACTTTTACCACTTATATCATAAATAACTATTTAAGCACTAGTGCCTAAAAGTGTCATCCATTATTCAGAAATAAAAAACACACTAAACACAGATTTGAATTTTGTTTTGCATTTATTATGAATATTGAAAATGGAATTACCGAATTGAACATTTGGGTTACTCAAAACAGAACTTTGTGTTGTTACCTACTTTCTAGGATTTTAATTATTGATGTCGAATCTTGAAAAAAAAATCGCATGAATAGTGTCAGGTGTCAAGTAAAAGCAGGTAACAAAGATTTTGGGCGTAATCGACTTATTCACATGAAATAAAATTGTGTTTTTTATTATAAAATGCCAGTAGAAAAAATCTTGTATACAATACGTTACGAAACGACGTCTTTTAGTCACTCGACGTGTTGTCCAACTCGGCTTTGCCTCGTTGGACAATTTTCACGTCGCGTGCCTAAAAGACGCTCATTTCGTAACTTATTGTATAAATAGCTATTTTCTACTTGCGTGCGCAAAGTAATCACTTTGCACACTCATTTGCGTGCGCAAAGTTGAACTTTGTGCACGGAAATTTTTTGCGCACTCATTTTTGTTACGCATAATTACCATAGTTATACTTGATTTTTCAATGTGTTGATAGTTTCTGAATAAACTAATATTCAAAATGAAGGGTTTGAAATAAGCGCTTAGTTAACATGATGTTTCCTATCAAAGGTGTCCAAATTGGACCAGCCTGCACTATTAGGAATTTGTAGAATTTTTGATATTTGAGAGACTCTCATGAAAATATTCTAGCTGGTATTGGTAGAAATTCAAGAAGATGTTAAAAGATTTTTGGAGATTTCCTTTAAAAGACATTTTGAGGTATTTCAATAGATTTTAAACGATTTTTGAAGCACTCAAAGCTTATCCGAACTCCGCTTCGCGTCGTCCGTCTAAACTGCTTTTTCGTGCGGGAAAGTATCACTTTGCGCACTTGTTAGGAAAATAACTATTTCTTTAGGTGACACTTGTCAAACTTAATAGTTTTTTATCTTAACCACACAAAATTTTTTCGCTGAAAAACCATCATGTTGGTTTTGCCCAGGTAGGAACAGGTAGAAGTTTTGTCAGTAGGAAACCGGCCGTTCCTATGACATTTTGCCAGTGTAAAACACTCTAGTGAAATAGTCATAAATAAAAAATTTATGAAGCTTTTTTTATAGCTTTTTAAATTGGACCACCCTGTACATGCTAGAAATTAAAATATCATTTTTTATGGAGTACCTATATTTTGTTTTTATATTTTATCAACCAAAGTTAAATTACAATATTTTATCAGTAGTTAATAAAAAAAAACTTTCACCTAATTTTTCAGAATCACCCTGTATCGCTACAAGGTCGGTGCAATAAAAGAAAATGCTTATTTGGACTTCTTAACTTAAATGATATACCTATGTACTAAAGCTTCAACAAAATTTGTCGGTGACCGAAATCCATAAGAAGTGTGAGATGTTCTTTGAACAATTTAGTCGGAGCAACAAAACGCAATACACAAAATTGTGAGAAAACTGAAAACTATCAATTTTCATAGATATTTCATACAGGGTGATTTACGTAGCCCGTGCATTAGAAGTGTTCAGGTTGCAGGGGGATTAGAATTTTGGTTTGTAGCTATAATCAATCGTTCCGGTGTCACCTAAAATACTTTCAGATCTTCAACTATACAAGGTGTACCAAATGTAAGCACTAACTTTCTTATTTCAAATAGAAAATTGCAGCTTTTTCAACATAGTTCCGTTGACCTTGCAATTTTGAGTTGGGACCACCCGAGTTTTGTCAATCTATCTTTTATTGTTTTTGACATAAATGTCATTTTTTATTATAAATTGCCGCTTTAGTTATTCATAAAAACAAGGTGTCTCGAAAACCATTCTAAAATAATAAACCAAATTTGGAAGATAAATAGCTGCTCGATGTGTCATTAATTAGTACGTACATTTCATACCATATGGTGCGCGACCTACAAACATCGGAATCAATAATGGTCAAGAAGTCGATTTTTTTAAATGTCACTTATCATATTTTTTGGCACAATTCGAAAGAAAATTGAATTTTACATGGCGTTACTTAAGCATTCCCTATGCCTAACTTGGTTTGTTATGGAGTTATCCATAGAAAAGTCCACTTTTTCTGACTAGGCAGTCAAAATAAACCTTTCAAGTGACAATAAGAAGCCGCTTTAAATGTGTAATTCAAGGAAAAATAACTATATTTGCTGTTGTTGTTTTAATACTTATATTTGTTTTATTATTTTCCAAACAAATCAAAAACACTTTTTTCTTTATCACACGCATTCAACTATTTCAACTTTTTCCTGTTTTGTATTGAAATTTAATTTTTCTGGAATTTTTTCAGGTAATGATTCTGCTGAAAAAGTATACGCAGCTAGTTGGAGGAATATGTATGGAGTACTTGCCCCTAGCCTTGGTAAACCTTCTTACCACTATGCAGAAAGAGCCAAAGGAGTAGAGAAGTTGATTTTTTTGCCACCTTTCCGTAGGAACTATAAGAAAGCTTCAGAAGCGAGTAAGTTTTTTATTTTGTTTTATTTTAAACTTGCTGTGGCTCCTCCTTCTTGTTGAAAAATATTTAGACTACTATTGCTACTATTACCAATGCAAATATTGAAAACCTACTTTAGTGACAAAGTATGAGTGCCAATTTTCAGCACTCAAAAGTGTACAGGGTGTCCAAATTTGGATGGTTTTAATAGGAAACGTCAATTTCTGAGCGAGATACAAAAAAATGAATCCCCCACTCCGAGGCTCAGTTTTCTTGAAATTTTGATTGGTGCAAACCACATTTTGATATCTTCAACCGTTTAGCCGCTAGAGGGCGATTCTCGATTTTAAGCAATACTGTGAAATCTTCATAACTTTTTTGTTTATAAAAATAACTGATTTCCGTAAAAACGTCCTAGAAGCACTTTTTCAAGCAGAATTCAGTGACGTTTTCAGTTTTTTTCTATTGAGCCTCGATTTCAAGATATTGACCAAAAACCGATTTTTTTCAATGGGACACCTTATATAATAATAGCTCATTAGAAAGCTCTGCTTTTGCTGATTTCAATGATACAAATTTCGATAGGTTTATCTGTAACAGTTTTCGAGAAAAAAAAATATTTCGGCTTTTGTCATAAGAAACAATGAGTTAGAAAGAGACCTTTCTCAGTTTCCTTACAGATATAAAGTCCTTTTCTTACACATTGCTTTTTATGACAAAAACCGAAAAAAAAAATTTCTTGAAAACTATTAGAGATAAACCTGTCGAACTTTATATCATTGAAATCAGAAAAAGCCGAGCTTTCTAATGAGCTATTAATATATAGAGTGTCCTATTCAAAAAAAACCAGACTTTGGTCAATATCTTAGAGTTGGGACCAACTAGAAAAAAACTGATAACGTCACTGAATTCTGCTTGAAAAAGTGCTCCTAGAAAGTTTTTACGGAAATCAATAATTTTCATAAACAAAAAAGTTATGATGGTTTCACATTATTGCTCAAAATCAAGAATCGCCCTCTAGCGGCTAAACGGTTGAAGATATCAAAATGCGGTTTGCACCAATCGAAATTTCAAGAAATTTGAGGCTCGGAGTGGGGGGTTCATTTTTTTGTATCTTGCTCAGAAATTGATGTTTCCTATTAAAACCATCCAAATTCGGACACCCTGTACATACAGTTAGCCCTAAAACATAGCTTTTTTTTTGCTAGTTAGCTAGTTTTTTGACTTCTAGAAAGGATATTTCATCTTTTTTTTAGAGGTATAGTATTTTTAATCCCAAGTGAAACACCAAAAAAACATCTAGTCGGCATACATCAAACAGAATATAAAACATGTAGTGGAGCGAAATAGCCCATGAAATGTTTAAAAAAAATTTTTTGGCGTACAACCACATAAAATGCCTATATTATTATTAACTGTCTTAGGGGGCATCCGAAATGGCGATTTACGATATTTTTTAGTGATCGAGAGATTTTTTATTTAGAAAAATAGCACCAATTTGAATAAAAACGAAAAATGTAAATTTTAAGTTCACACTCTAATATCTCTAAAACTAACAAAGCTAGGAAATCGACTTTTTTACCAAAATAAAGTCCATTTATTGGGCTTTCTAACAGACCTATACATTGCTGTACCGAAATATGTTCTATATTTTTTCAATGACGTTTAAACTGTTACGTCACAAAATATGACTCTAAAATTTCACTAAGCGACAAACTTTTTTATTTTCAACTTTTTCCACATACATGCTGCGAAGCAAAGAAAGAAAAAACATTCAAAAAGTTTTTAAACTTGAAATCTTTTATCTCCGATGTATAGTTTTTTTGCTGTGAATTTTACAATATCGCGCAATCTTGAAAATTCAGGCGCAGCGTGCACGTTTAGTAGGTACGATTTTGTAGCTGAAAATATATTTTATAATATGCAGACGGGTCAGTTTTTTTTTTAATTAGAAGAATAAAACTAAAACATAAAACCAATATTGTTTTTAATCCTTATAATAAAGTAGGTTTCTTGTTTTTAGTATCTATTCAACCTCTTCTTCTTTATTTTCAGACACCTCCGTTTGTTCCATAATTTATTTTTGATTTTTGCACTAATTACAGCTACACTCATCACAACATTTCAGCCCCTCCTCAATGCAGGTGCATTTTACTGCACAATATAAGCTTGAACCTTGTCTTATAATTTGGGGCACTAGTTGTTGGCTCGAAAAGACTGGATTCCAATTCTTATTTTCCAAGATCGAACCATTACATTGGGGATCATTAGACCCCATCTTTAGGCCCGACAAGAGAGATGGGGGGGGGGGGGAAGACGGGACAAATTCCCGGCGCCCGTAAGAACTGGGAGGCCCGGGTTCATGGGTTCACAGTGAAAAAACAAAACCAAATTCTTAGCTGATACATGCACCTAAAATTTTATGATAAAAATAAAATCAAACTTTGAATGATAAATGAAATTATTTACTCATTTAAGAAAATGTTGATAAAAGGCCGTGTTAGTTGGTGGCAGCTCTGGCTTATTGGTTGTTGTAGTCATACGCAAGCGTAATTCATTGAGTGTTTTTATATAGCAACAACACGTATTTTGTAGCCAGCTTCAATACTTTATTCTTTGAGAGATGCCAAATATTTTAGTTAGGCTGTTTTTTTTTAAGATGTCAAAACAGTCTTTTTTCCAACTAAAAAGCACTAGTAGCGCCTCATCCGGTTAAGCAGGGAATTGCCAAAAAACAGGAACAAAATTCTTTACCTGAATTTTCAACAGCCATATTTGGTGGAACATATCGTCTCGTTTCGCACCATGGCCCAATTCGATAAATAACTCAACTGCTTCTAAAGTAGACAAAGAGCAATAACAATGAATGAATCAATAAAACTAACACATCTGTATCTATAGATTTTATCAAAATTCGTTGGCTTATTGGGATTCATACACTATAACTTTACACAAAAAATCATTCGTGTATCAGCTCCTTCTTGATTACTATACAAGTCCCTCAGATATTTCGTAAAATTCAGGAAAATTTAGGTAAAGAAACTTTGTGCCTGTTTTTTGGCAATTCACTGCTTAGCCGGATGTGACACTACTAGTGCTTTTTATAAAGTTGGAACAAGACTGCTTTTGACATCTTAAAAAAGAACCTTCCTAAACTAAAAGATTTGGCAATTTTACCCCTTCTTCCAGAGGATAAAGCATTGAAGCTGGCTACAAAATTAGATACTGTTCGCTATATAAAAATAAATATAAAAATATAACAATACTTAATGAATTTGCTTGTGTATGGCTACAACAACCGATAAGCCATCATCAGAACTGCCACCATCAACTAACGCGACATTTTATCAGCATTTTCTCAGTCACCTGAGTTGATCTACTCACGTAGATCATTTAATTTATTCATACAAAGTTTGATTTTGGGAATTTGGTTTTGTTTTTATAATAACGTAGCACAGATGGGGTCTAATGATCCACAATGTAATAGTTGGATCCTGGAAAATGAGAATTGAAATCCAGTCTTTTCGAGCCAACAACCAGAGAGCCAATTTATAAGACAAGACAAGGTTTAAACTTGTACTGTGCAGATGAGAAAAGCATGAATTCAAAATGCACCTGCATTAAGGAGGGGCTGAAATGTTGTTATGAGTGTAGCTGTAAGCAGTGCAAAAATTAAAAAGAAATCATGGAACAAACGGAGGTGTCTGAAAATGAAGAAGAGGAGGTTGAATAGGTACTAAACACAATAAGGTACCTACTTTATTATAAGGATTAAAAACAATACCTATTGGTTTTATTTTAATTTTTCTAATTTAAAAAAAAAACTGACCCGTCTGCATATTATAAATATAGGTCTGTTTCTGCAGAAATCACAAACCAGTCAGAGCGAATTTTATTGGAACACAGTCAGAAAACTACACTCTGACTGATTTGTAATTTCTGCAGAAACAGACCTTATATTTGCAGCTACTAAATCGTACCTACCAAATGGCGTAAAAACGACAAGCCGCTGACGTCGGCCGATCCCGTGCATGCATCCCGTGCACGCTGCGCCTGAATTTTCGAGATTTCGCGATTTTGTAAAATTCATAGCAAAAAAACTATACATCGGAGATAAAAGATTTTGACTTTAAAAACTTTTTGAATGATTCTTCTTTCTTGGCTTCGCAGCATGTATGTGGAAAAAGTTGAAAATAAAAAAGTTTGTCGCTTAGAGAAATTTTAGAGTCATATTTTGTGACGTAACAGTTTAAACGTTATTTAAAAAATATAGAACATATTTCGGTACAGCAATGTATAGGTCTGTTAGAAAGCCCAATAAATGGACTTTATTTTGGTAAAAAAGTCGATTTCCTAGCTTTGTTAGTTTTAGAGATATTAGAGTGTGAACTTAAAATTTACATTTTTCGATTTTATCCAAATTGGTGCTATTTTTCTAAATAAAATATCTCTCGACTACTAAAAAATATCGTAAATCACCATTTCGAATAGCCACTAAGATACTTATCTCGGTAAATAAGCGACTTTTTGCCTCTGTTTCGCTCCACTAATGAGCGTCACATATTTTTTATTTCTTTAAATAGTAATAACCAATATCAAACAAGGCAACTAAATAATATGTGGAATAGAACAGCAAAAATAGTTATTTTTGTATCTAGTTCGCGAAATGCTACTTTGGTGATTGAGATCTGATTTTTTTAACGAGGCGCAGCCGAATTAAAAAAATACTCGAGATTACCAAAGTATTTCGCGCCCGAGTTGCAAACAATATTTTTTCTACAACTCCATTTAAATATCGATCATTCGAAGCCAAAATTGCATTTTCAATCAAAGGTAGGTGAATTTTAATTATTTTTGGTTTCCTGACAGGTATGTGTCACCATGACACCAGTGTGCGAACTAGCTATTTCGCGCACTAGTGTGCGAAATAGCTAGTTCGCGCACGGCGTCATGGGAACGTTAAAAAATCAATACCTGGGAAAAAAAGTGTCACTTCGCAAACTGTCATGAGTGTGCGAACATCATTATTTTTTGACAGTTGTAGAAAAATATAAAGTGCGTTTTTTTTTTAAAGATAAAAGTCAAACTGACATTAGGTTGGCAATACAATGTAAAATTGTCAAAGCTTTCAAATTTTTCATGTAGAAAAGGCTTGTGTTGCCAACATAGTTACTAAATTTTTGACTTGGGGAATTATCTTTAAAAAAAAAACAGATTTTATAAATTGGGATGACACTGGTTATAGAAGTCTCGTCGTCTAGTCAGCCAGGCACCTGCATCGTTCCTGGGGAGACGTAAGTAGCCCACCCCAATAATTCAACCTATAGGCGCCTGCCGACCTAAATTATTATTTTGGGCTACTAGCGATATTTCCTCGCTACTTATATTTTGTACAGGGAAACTTACAATAGATTTTCTATGAAATTAATAAAAGAGAGTGATGTAATATTGAAATATCCTCGTATATTGCAGTGTTTCAGGACAGAATAAAAATACTATACCATGTAGCAAGGAAATAGAAAACATTTGGTTTTGACATTATTATAATAGTTTTTGAAACTTGGACAGTAATAAACCTGATGAAACTGCTTTAGCTAACCCAGGATATTTGGTAACTTAAGTTCATGAATACGAGATTACAAGCGCCAGGCTAATGTTCTTAGTAGACGAAAATGTATTCTTTCCTGGAACTTGTAGAAGTTATAAATCAAAATTCAGCATTACCAAATTCTAGCCGAAAGTTACTAGTTTGTTGAAGTACCTATTGTTAGGTTGTTTGAAGCAACTAATTAATCAAATGTTTTAATAATTAGGTACCAATTTTGTTGAAATTTATTTATAGGTTTTTCTGAATATAGTTACTGAAAGAAGATTTTTTTATCTGGGTATTTAAACATTGCATCTCCAATGCACAGTTTTGTGTATTGGAGAAAGGAGAGCCAAACTCATATTGGTTTAATCAACTTTTCACCTGTCAATTCTCCTCTTCCTAAATATGTGTTGTCTTTTAGAGCTTTCACTCTTTTTTTTTTCAGATCCGAGTCGCAGCTTCACAAAATTATCAACAGATTTTCTCTTGGATTTACTTTGGGAGTTCTCCAGAATTTGTGAAGAAGAGAGCATGAAACTAGACGAACTTGAAAAATTTTGTGTAGAAAACCAAGAGCTAAAATGTATGTTAGCTTCGGCACATTTCAAATGTAGCCGCTTCAACGAGGTCCAAAGGGAAAACGTTTGGTTCAGTACATTCGAAAGCAAGGCTTTTTTCAAAAAAGGCTCGTATCGTATTGAATTTAATGGACCTGTTGGGGATAAAGGAAATGAAGCTTTTCAGAAATATGTTGACCGACTCGCGTATAATGAAGACCCTTTTTTTGATGTAGAAATCATAACATCAATGAATAAAGAATCAACAATTATTACCAAATTATTGAATTCATTTGCAGAAAACAACACAAATAAAAAGGGTGACAAGGCTATTAAGGAATCCTCAAATCTAATATATAAGATTGACAGCACCAATCCTGGTATAGCTCTAAGCAGCAATGAAGCAGTACCAAAGAAATTGTCGAAAAAACGTTTTGTTGCATCAAAAAAAAAAGAAAATCCAAATAAAAATGTTACAGGAACTTCCTATGAAACCTTTGAGGAGTCTGATATCAAAGTTAAAGTTCATTATTTGGATCACATCTTAAAACCCGCAAAGGGGCATATTAAAAATTATTTGGATACATTTGGACACTGCACAGAGAGCTACGATAACTTGTACTCCTATGAACAAGCAAATACCCAATCAGAAAATATGTCCAAAGAATCCCAAATTGACGAAATCTCAAAGGAAACTGAAGGTGACACTGACACTGACCTAAAAAGAAAATTAAATGCTCCGTATAAGAAACATGGAAAATTTTCCAAGGATCCAACCGTTCATATAAATGATTCAGAAATACTATGCAAAACAATATCTAACAAACCAGTCAAGAATCCGAACCATCAAGTCCCTGTAGAATCTTCGGGAATTGAGGGTTCCAGTAAAGCAGCATCAGAAATAAACATGGATGAAAATGCTACAAAACTAGGGCTTGGGGAATCAAAAAATGAGAAAAAAAGGGTTTCCAAGGAAAGATATTCTGATAAAGATATTCCAGAAACTCCAATCTCAGCTATTTATAAATACGCCCTACGAAAAAGGCTAACAGTTGGGAAGACGTCAAATAATTGTCAAAAAACAGTATCTGAGGCATGGGCCAAGCAACAAAGCAATGAACTCTATGTAGATTCTTCTAGAGATGGTTTTAAAAAGTCTGAGGATAATAATGTGGATTCCAATGATACAGCCTCTGACTGTCTTTCTACTTCAGAAGTAATAGTGGATAAAAATAAAAATGCCATAAAAGAGGCTACAAAAATAAGATCCAGAGAATCCAAAAGCCAGAGAGGATTTGAAGAACTAGCTAAAAAACAAAACCACAACGTTCCTGTAGAATCTGCTAGGAATGTTTCCAAAATATCGAAGGATAATAATATGAATTTCAAACAAGGAGTTTCCTATGAAGCAACTTTGGAAGTAACTGTGGATAAAAATGCCATAAAAAATGCTGCAGAAATACCAATCAGTGGCCGGAAAATAGCATCTGAAAAGCCAGTCAAGAACCAAAATCAGGAACTCCCTGTAGAAGTTTCTGGTTCCAAAGTGTCAAAGGATAGTAATGTGGATTTCTATAAAACGCTCTCGGACTCTCTTGAAGGAAAGGAAGATTATAAAATTCCTGGATTTTTGATTAAACCCATGTCAAAATTAAAAGTGAAGACGAATGCCACGAAGTCAGAGAAATCTGAAAAAGTAACTGAAAACATAGGGCCTTCCAAAATTAGTTCTGAAATGCCCGAAAAATCAATGTCTCTTAAAAATGAAATCAAGCAAATGGATTCGATTTTGCAATCATTGAAAATTGACGAAGGACCGCCCAAAAATGAATTATTCAGATCGACCTTAGACGATCAAAGGGAAAATGAAGGCCAATTTTTCGCAAACAGTGGCTATTCCAAAACTACATCTATAGATAATGCATTTATGTCTTTGAATCAACAATTGTCATCTTCAGACCAGGCGGTTGAACTAATAAAAAGTAAACAAAAAGCTCTTCAGAATATTGGTTTAGACAGCTGTCTACCAACTGATAAACTTTCAAAGCCAGCACAGAAAAATGAAAATGATAATAAAGAATACTTGAAGCCATCATTTTCAGGTGGAAGAAAAAAAGTTTGGGTTGGAGATGGTTCATGTCAGGAGGAAATTAGTCCAGTAAGTTTTAATGCAATGGAAACGATTAAAATAGAACCAAAGCCCGACTTTACCAAAGAACAAAAACTGCTAACAACAGATCAACCTACAACTGTAGAAAGAAAAAAAGCCAAACAAAGTGATATTTGTGACAACAAAAGACAGACAGAAAAAGAAGATTTAATATATGATTTATATACCAAAGATTCTATGGACAATTTCTTCAAATGTTTCAAACCCAAAAGAAACAGACAGTATAACAAAGTTTCACTTTCTTTTTTGCAAGATGTGCATTTATCGTCTCCTTTTATTCTAGAATCAGCTTCAGAAGATGCATATTTGGATCCAGTAGAAGAAGAGAACATTTATAGTGGAACAGTACTAGAAACGAATAATGAAGAATCTCCCCAGCAACATGCTGAAAATGATGAAGTTAAGGTAATCGATGTAGAAGAATACCGCCAACTATTGCTATCAGACTGTGATAAACAGAAACGTACATGTGATATTAATAATGTTAAGGATAAAGAAACGGTTATTAATTTTTTTAATATAATACCTGAGGGTGCTGAAGTATTACAAATAACCACCGATTGGCTGTGTACACTAAAAGGCTACTCGAAACTCATAGAGATACTTAAAGAATGTAACGTACCTTTAATTCGTACTACTGCTTTGTGTCTCGATCATATGGATTTGTTTGTGGATTTAATCAGGGAACATAACTCCGAGAGGTTACTTGGCCAAAGGCACAAATTTACTTTTAAAGAATTGCAATTTATTCAGATTGATAGAGACAGTACGTTTGAGGTAATAGAAAGGGAAGGTCGCGGTAGCGGTCGATTCGAAATAAAACAAGATTATACTCGAGATTACACTCAATATTACCCATACTAGTTAAATATAATCTCAAGAAGGGAGGTTTGTTACGGCTAAGATAAAAATCGTCTGCAAAGGAATACAGAAAAAAATTTAACTAGGTATTTTATTATTTTTAGTGGCATGCAGACGTATTAATACGTAATACGTCTGCATGCCACTAAAATTAACACTATAAATTATATTTGATTATTATAAAGGTCATGCCATATAATAATCATATTATAACCTAATGCTAGCGGACTATATGTAAGTAATAGCTTTCTGTTGAAGATATGATTGGTATTTTTATGGAATTTGCTTGTTCAGGTATTGCGGTTTCATGCGGAGAAAATATCTGACAGACTAGTTTTTTTTTTTTTTGAAAGTTTCATTTTATTATCTATCAATAATATGTGTTTTTTGTAATAAGCTGTCTGTCCCAGTGGCGCAGCCAGGTGGGGGGCCCAGGCCCCCTTCCCCCAAGGCTTCACAGAAAAATAATGAAGTAGACAAAAGCTCATATCATAAAAAGTTTACAGGATAGTGGATCTCCCAGACAAAATGTCTGGCTGCGCGACTGGCCTGTCCCGTTCCTTCAAATAATCAATAAGGATTGGCAAGATCATCCAGGATTTATTATTGTCACAGTAATTCACATGTAATGTTTTACTAATAGAACCATTAGGATTTCAACTTTGTCCCAAAGATGAAGCAGTGTAATTTTTTAAGTTCTGTATTTTGAATAAATGTACAAAAAACAGAAACTCAATAATAAAAAATAACTTATGTTCTTAAGCCCCATAGAAGAATTAGCACAAATCATCATTTATTTTATTTGTGAACATTTCTCGATTATATATTTCACTTTTTCCTTGCTGGAATTTATCTATAGAAAACTATTACCTAAGCCTTTTTTGATTTGATTTTGCTAAAACCATTTAAACAATCATTCTTCCTGAGTAAAGTCTTTTTGTAATTTCTAATTTTCTCTAGATTCTTGTTAATCCTTGTAGATTTTTCAACTAAATTCCGCACAAAATTACCCGCTTCAGATGCTCGTTTCCACTTTTTTTTGTCACAGGTCAGAGCCATGAGAAACTGCAAGGATGACATCTGTTCGATTGGGTCATAATATTTTATATAGGGAACGCCTTGAATTGACAAGGTTACGGATTTTTGCTCCTTATAATTGAGTTTATTTTAACTCTTTCATTTGGGAATTACATTATCAGACATTTTTCATTGAAAGCGAGAACATCTTCGCTCCCGTCGATATCTCTTTCCACTGTTGTTATATCGAATAGGAATACATATGTTGTACAAAGCTGTGTTATATAAAATCTTCAACAACTTGTACAACATCATGCTTCCTTCTTCTTCTTCTTCTTCTTTCTGTTTACCAATGGCCCCTTGTTGTCAAACGACAGTCAGCCAGAATCCTATCACTTGTGTACTCTAGTGCATCGGGGTGGGGTTCCCCACTTGCCCTATTGGCAAGTGGGGAACCCCACCTAACTATTTTTAGGTTAAAATTGGGGATGAGTAGGTCATTTTTTGCTGTGGCGTCTACAGCTGGGAATTTGAAAACGCCAAAAAAATATGAGTATATCGGATATGTGCCTGATAAAATGACCATATAACAACCATTCACATTTCATAAGCATTGGCACCTAATAGCATTTTAAATCATGCAGCACACCAAATAGCACCACTCTACAATACAACTGTAACCATGAACTACTGCTTATTTTCAGATTCTTACATCAAACTTCTTGATAGAATTCATAACCATCTCTGCTTCCCTGGTTGGATTCGCAAGAATTTCTTCCATCTGTATCAGTCCTCCTACCATCTTGTTCAGTCTTGAATACAACCAATCTGTAGGACCTCTGTTCAGCTCACAGTTTGATATCGGCCACTTCACCACATTCACAATACTTGCTGTCCTGCATGCTAAGTTTGTATTTGTGTTTAGGTATGAGGCAATGTGTAGTTCTGATTCTGCAAAAGGAGCTAGTTTTTTGTCTGTCAGCCCTTTTAATTTTTGCAAACCACGGTGTTCTTTGGGATTTCTTCGTTAATTTGTAGTATTGGCTTGAATGATTTCTACCTTTATTGGTAAATTCCACAGCCCATTGCCTCCATGTCACTTCCCTAGCTACTCTGCATAAAGCATCATAGTGTATTGTTCTGTTGGTAGCATTATTTGCCTCTCGGCCTCTTCCTGCAAGTCTATCTGCCTTTTCATTTCCTGTTATGCCTGTATGACTAGGCAGCCACAGTATTTTGATTTCCTTTCCTCCATCCTGCATATCTAATATTTTCTTCCTCGTTCTAAACGTGATTCTTTCGGTCCCTATATTGATGCCATCTCTGATAATTTTCAAAATAGCACTTTTAGAATCCGATATTGACAGCTTTTCCTATGTCAATCTCTAACGTATTGAGGGCAATATAGCTAGCACCTCCGCTGAATAAATGTTGGTTAGATCCTGGCATTTCCCTACTATTGAGATTTTCATTGTGTTGTTGTATATTCCAGGTCCGCAATGTGTTGATATTGGCTCCAAAGATGCATCTGTATATATTTTTTCATGGTCCGAGTATTCTTCCAACAACTCCTGTAATAAGAGTTGGCCATCTGGAATGAACTTTTGTATATTCGAATCCGCCCAGTCTATTTTCCGCAGTTGAGTAGCCATATCCTCTTCGAAACATGGCAGATTGTCCATTCTTTCCAATATTCCCATGTGGGCAACCCCCTCCATAGCCGCCGGAGCGCACTTGGTCCGCCAATAAGGAGGATCCTGATTGTAACATGCATAGAAGTTGAGTATCACTGTATCACCCTATTGACCTCGTCTCCTCTAATGGCTACTTTTCTGAGCAATCAACTTTGTACTACTACTAAGTAGGTTTTTTCGCTGTATCAATGGCATTTCTGCCGCTTCAGATAACAACGCCATTATGGGAGTGCTCTTTATGCAGCCAGTCACCACTCTTAAGGCCTGGTACTAAATGCGTTCCATTTTGCTAGAATTCATCTTGCTCATATGGTACATCGCTTGATAGCCATAATCAAAATGGGTTCTAACCAGCCCTTTATAAATGTTCAACAATATATTTGGGTCAGCGCCCCACCAGGTTCTTGTAATTGCTCTCATTATGTTTATTCCTTTCTGCGCCTTGTTAATCACATATTCAATGTGTTCGTTCCACTTCAACTTCCTGTCCAATATGACACCCAAGTACTTATAATTTTCAACCCACTCAATTTCTCTATTTAACACCCTTATATTTATTATTGGATTATTTCTGCTACCCTTGGAAAACAACATAGCTTCAATTTTTTCTGTTGAAATGTACATATTATGACCCCTTAGCCATCCTGTCAATCTGTTCAAAGCAACCTACATTTTTCTTATACCTTCTTCCGCCTTTTTATCAGCTGCAAACAATACAATTTCATCGGAATAGTGCAATGCACAAGCCTCGCCAGCCACGCTTTCCTTAATTTTATTGGTGTACATATTGAATAACAGAGGACTCGGAGGCGATCCCTGCGGCAACCCCATCCCATGTGTGCTTTTTCTTAGGTTTCCATAGAACGGTTCTCATATGGTTATATTTCTATCTGAATACAAGTTATATATATACTCAATAATACATTCATTAACCCCGGCTTCTTTCAACGTCTCTATAATAATTTCCAATAATACATTATCATAAGCAGCCCGAATGTCTATGAAGGCATAAACTATCACTTCATTATTGGTAAATGCTGTGTAAATTGAATTAGCCAAAATGTCCAGGTTGTCTATGGTCGATGTAAAAGCTATTGGTCTGTATGCTTAAAAGTAGGGGTCTTTCTTGGGTTTTTTAAGCGGGATGACAATTTGGTTTCTCCACGCCTGCGGAATACCTGTCTCCTGTCTAAGGATTCCATTGAAAAGTTGCAACAAGGTAGTTTTCATAAAAGTCGGTAGTCTTGACACCATAGGATAAGTAACATCGTCTTCTCCTGACGCTGTATCCTTTTTTCCTTGAAGGACAATATCAAGCTCCTCTATAGCTAATTCAATGCATCTTTAATCCGATTATTCACCAATACCTCTGGATTGCCGCTGACAAAGGGAGGGGCTAGCGTATTCAGTAGGTCTGTCACCCAATCTGTGTATTTGACTTCATTCACTATATTGTTTGAAAATTTCTTCTACCCTCTGGTTCTGTAAACTTTCTAAAGCCATCTTTTTTTTTTGCTCTAGGGTTCGTCTTATTCTGGCAGCAATTTTCTTGTATTTGAGAAAATTTTCTAAGGCCATGCATCTCAAATACACACTAATCGCCTCTTGCCTTTCAATTCTTATTCTGTTACAATCTTCATCCCACCAAATTGGCTTCGGGGGTATATTTGTTTTTTCTTGAACCTGAGACTCTTGGGATAGCTTCTTCCGCTGCCTGATGGATTTTATCGGTAAATGCCTGATAGGTATCAATATCCTCCCTATCATTCTCAAAGAATCTGTCATTTTTATCCCAGTCTGCTTTTTCCGTTTTCCATTTCCTGAATGGCTTCCTTTCCTTTTTTTGACCTATCAGTTGTTTTCTAATGCAGCATACAGTCGGGAGATGGTCACTGAAACAACTCTGGTCGGAAACATACCAGTTACAGCCTGTTCCCAGGTCCTGCGATACGATTGTTATGTCCAGACAACTTTTATTTTGGTTCGGTGGGGCTATTCTCGTGCTATTACCCTCATTTATAATTATTAAATTGTTGTCACTAATATATTCCACAGGCTATATTGAGCATTAAGATCCCCCATGATAATGAATGGAGCTTGTATTCCTCCAAAGGCATTGTGGATGTTGTTTGGGGAAAGTATAACATCTGGCGGCGAGTAGGCCGTGACAATAGTAACTTCTTTAATTTTGATCCCCACGGGCCACGACTAGGCATCTTTGGATGAAGTTATATTATTCATGTTACATTTAGTGTGGGGTATGCCTTCTTTGATCAAGATAGCAATACCTCCTTTTCCATCATCTGTATCCAATCTGTGTGTTACATAGTATTTGACCTTCAAAACATTGTCTGCCTTGAGCCATGTCTTATTAATCAATAAAACATCCGGGTTTTCGTTATTCATTAAGATAGTCAAATCGCTGAAGTTTCTTAAAACACCCCTAATGTTCCATTGGATTATTTTCATGTTGGGTTTGTTCATAATAAAATTCATCTACATTAGCTTGTGCATCTTCCAAAAGGTTTTGAGTGTCTAAATCGTGATCAGATCCCCCAGATTCTTGGGTTACATTCTGGATTTCTTCCATAATTACATCTTTCACCTCCTGGGTCAAAGTTGTCTTGCCAAGAAGTTGTTTTACAACCTCTAATATTGGTGTCGGCTGGAGCGAGTAGGTACTACCAACTGGCGAGCCTTTCCTTGTACTCCTTTGAGTAGGCGTTCTAGCAGAAGCAGGAATCAGACATTTTTTGTGCATTTCTCTTTCGTACCCTGACAAACAGGGATTTTTTTGTTTTCAGGTTACATGCAGCTGAAGCATATGATTTTTTGAGGTTTTCTTGGAGTCGTAGAGGTTGATATGTATGAATGTCTCTGATTCACTTCAATTGGTTTCCTTGCTTCAAAATAGGAGATGTTTGCTGTTATCATTATAGTTTTGATTGCTTTTTGTCTCAGGTACTCCTTGCATTGTGTATCAGTGGTTTTATGTTCCATGTTGCAGTATAAGCAATTAGGTGTGCTTTGTTCACAATCCGTTTCTTCGGCACATATCGGTCATCATTGTTTGCCTCGGCACTGTTTGGCTGTATGGCCATATCTTAAACATTTGAAACACATCAATACTGGACTTATATAGACTGAGATCATTACATCACAGAAATCTAGATTTACTGACCTTGGAATCACTTTGCTTTGGAATGTAAACACCACTGATTGAGTGTTTACATAGATAATATCACCATTATCAGTTATTCTCTTCTCTAGCCTCCTGGCCTCAACAGCATTTGCAAGCTGGAATATATGCATTGAGATTTTCCTCTAATAACATTTTATTAGTTAAACATTCGTTTGAACTAAGATAGTCAGTAAATTCTATTCCAACTCTGTTTTTACCTTTTTTGGAAGTTTACTCCACTCTTATTTTTCTATTTCTTAAAACTCTACCAATACTCATGGGATGCATATTACCAATATTATCCTCATTTTTGCTTTCAACAATAACCATGTAAGGTTTAGAATCTCTGATAGTGTATGAAAAATTACTTGTCTTTTTTTTTGTCCATATTTCCACTAGGTGGGGGCCCCCAAAGGCCCCCTGATTCTACAATCATGTGGTTGTGATACTATTTTAGGTTAGAAAAAGGCCAGGCAAGAAAAAGCTATACCTACTAAGGCAAGCAGGGGTTTGAATTTTATTCTGAGGACTTACCCCCAGATGCACTCAATTATTTTCTCTTCCACAATTAAGTATTTTCACTACCTAAGCACTTTTATTTCGCAAAAATAAATCGAAAATTAGAATACCGAGTTGTCACTCTCTGGCGCCAGTCGTCGATCCCCACATCATGCTATATAGTCTTTCTATTTCTTCTAAATTCATTATTAATTTGAAAACAAGTTGAAAGCATTATCCAATTCAATAACGTATAAGTGTCTCATAGACATTACTTGATTTAATTTTTTTTCTGGATTCCTTTGCTCATTTTATCTTACTTTGGTCAGTGTGTGGTTCTTAACTTTGGCAAACTAATTAAAGTTCAAAGTACAAACGCAGTACAATACTAATTCAAATACACTAATACCCATGATTGAAGCTAAGCATTTAATAAAGAAAAACGCAGACTGAAAAATGGGTAGCTACTTACTCTCAACATTCAACATGGTAATTTTTTAAAGTTACTTAGAATTCAATTCTTTTATGTTTTTATTTCTTTCTAGTTTTATTTTAGCCCTTTTCACTTTTGCATAATGTAACAAAAAATTACTTTTTTGCAAGTATCTCTATTTTGACTCTATTTAGCTAAAAAAATATGTAAGTAATAAGTCCACTAGAAGAGAGTTATTATATACATAATTATTACATTTAATCTTTTCTCTGGGTGCATGAAACACTTCACTTACGCAATTGGTTGATTTTTGTAACGTGAAATTATGCAATGTTTGATTTGTTTTGCCCTAAACATTTAACAATATGCACAAAATTTGATATATTGTGCTTCATATTATCATATGTATCGTGATCGTTCTTATAATTTTCACAACGTTTCACATGCGATTAAGCAGTGAGCAGTTTAGAGTCTCAAAGGTACTCTCAAATCTTTCAGCGAAAAGAAACTATTATTTGCAGTACTTTCAGCAATTTAAGATAATTTTGTCATTATTGTCTCCAGCTTGATCCTTATTCTGCTCTTCCAACAGTTCTACTTTTAACAATATTGTGATGTTCTAGGTTGAAAGCTCAGACGTGGAAAGCCTTTTTTCCCATGTAGTGTATATCATATCCCCAGAGTAAAATTTTATTGAAATAGGTATCCGACTATGTCTGCTTGTATCTTCAAAACTTTGAATCTTATAGGAATAATGTAGGCTTTACATTTTAATAATTACAATTTTTAATATATTTATATTTGCAATATTAATTTTTCCAATACATAATTTGTCAAAATATTGATATATAAGTAATAATTATTAGTATGCCAAATACATAACTATTGTCATCGATTGAAAAACCGTAGACTCTCAAAAATAGCTCCTGTTAAGTTATGTTATAAGTCAATAGGTAACAATCTCGTGAAGTTTAAAAATATCATGATTAACTTAAGTACAAATTTATTGCCATAAAATGGACGTGCTGGTCAACTTCCAGCCACTTTAGACTGTAAGCGACCATAAACATAAAACAATAATCTATGGTTACCCATAGAAGTGTTTATTGACTGTCGTAATCATTTTGTTAAGTATTATTCTTGTATTAATAAAATCCATTGGTTTTATTTTATATTCTGTGCCTGTTGCATATTATTATCAAGAAGTTGTTTCTTTTTATTGTTAAACTAGAAATTTGGTTTTTGGTTTCAACAAAAATTTGCAAACTATTTTTATATGTAGGCTAAATCTGTCAAAAACCCAATTTCTACTAAGAACACATTATAAAATGGGTTGTATTCAATTAGAATTTATTTTCATTTTTTTGTCCGCAACATGAAAGATAAAGGACCGAAAGAATGAGACCGACACAGGGCAGTTACGTAAGACTACGTAGTATTTCTCGATTGTTTCAGTAAGTTTGCAAAGTTCTTAAATTCTGTCGCTACAAGTTGTTGTTGCATTTCCTCCTTCAGGCGACGTCCTTTATCTTCCGTGTGGCAGACTTCATCTATGTTCATTCACAAATCATCACTGTTTTTATTGGTGTCGGGATCATCATGTTTTTTATTTTGGTTGAAAATTGCTGTTGTGATCACATTGATTTGTTGTTTTTTTTTCTTTTAATTAGGATATTTTTATAAAAATATTTCTTGAGTTCCTCAGATTACCGTGTGGCGTTGCACATGGCATCACAATTACAAACAAAATATTTTTGATTCTTAAACGTTTTGTACTATTAAAATATTTAATAAACTGTTATTTTTCGTAATTGAATTTGGTTTTATTATACATATGCTCTAATTTTCTGTAAATTATTTTATTTTTGAAGTGATGATGGTAGCTAATAGTTATTTATGTGTGAAGGGAATTATGGGGGTGTTAATACCCCAGGGCAACGTTTGTTTCCCGAGGGCCTCTGGCCCGAGGAACACCAGTTGCCCGTGGGTATTACCACCTGATAATTCCCGTGGTACATAGATAATTTTATGTCCTACTGAATTTACTGTATTCTAATAGTTCAGTAGGATATAAAACATAATTTATTTTCCCTTTAGTACGCTGCCAAAATATGAATATTGATAAATAATCATAATGTAGCAGTATGAAAAAGAATAACAAAAAATAACTTGAGACACGCCTTAAGAAAAGCTGATCTAGAAAAATCGTACAAGAAAATTGAAAATGTAGCACAATACAACAAAGAGCCTAAGTTTTTGAAAGCCTCATCATCATCATATGCTAGCAAGTATTATGAGAATCGTGGCAGCATTATTATCTGTGGGTTCTTTGATAGCTAAATATTAACCCAGAATTTCTCCCACATCTAATACACAGCCAATCAGCGGTATCCGGTCGCCTTGATGAAGTTTTTGTTTGTATCGCTTAAATCGCCCGCCCCTTTGCTGCGTTGCGCATACAATACATAATTGGCATACGGACGACATGACCTAGCCCAAAGGGGCTTATGTTGGATGAACATTACCTAAACCAATAGGTTGAAATGGTTCTTCAAAAATAAAGTTGTTCGTTCGACGATCCTGCCAGTTTATTTTGAGTATTATTGTTAAGCAGCGCTGATTATTGTTTTCTGAGCATCCCTTCAGGTGATGCCTTCAGGTGGTCCAGGTTTTACCAATGAACTATAAACTACACGTACCTGGAATGGCCCGCCGATCTATAAATTTGCGGCAGATTGAGATGGAGAATGTGGGGACACACATCTCTATTTATCTTATTGGCGAATCATGGAAATCTTTCCTTGTCTAAAAAATATTTTATTCGAGGTTAGGAATATGCCAAACCTAACAGCAATGAACTGGAGAGAGAAAGGAATCCCCCACTATGTAGCTTTTTTGGACGCACTAAGCGAGATGACAAATGCCATACAAATGCCATATCCGACAACGGTCGGTGCCATTCCAGATACGTGTAGTTTATACAATGACCTATTAACACAGATAGACAGAACATCCCATTGACAATAGTTATTTGTGTACCAAGGCCGTAAAGTTCATCTCCGAATCAGAAATTTGCGGCCGAGGCGTAGCCGAGGCCAAGCAAATTTCAGGTGAGGCCAAAAAAGATCATTCGGCCGAGGTGCACACAAAATTTTTTAGGCGAGTGTTTGTTCTGGAAAAAAGATGAAAATTCAACAGTAGCTTTAAACTTTTATTGATTAGATAAAAAATCCAGCAAAGATAGGTAGATACATAATTATTAGTAACAAAAACTACGATAAAGGAAGTGTGATTATAGAAAATTGCCGACTTTTTCGCCTGGTATCCTACATTGTGCTTTTTTAAAAAAGTAATAGGATAGGGCTAAAATCAAAAATTTGGTTCCATTGTGGTTGCTAACTAATTGTTTATTGGTTGTGTTGATGGTTACGGCACCGCGTTTTCGATTGTCTGTCTATATGTATATTTTCATCAAAGTAGCGGCCGTAAAGTAAAAGCGGCCGTAAAGTAAATGCGGCCGTAAAGTAAAAGCGGCCGTAAAGTGATAGAGCAAATGCGGCCGTGAAGTAAATGCGGCCGTAAAGTAAATGCGGCCAAAAAAGATATACTTTAGGGATGATATTGAATCCGTAAAACTAATCTTTTTGTGACAGTTGCCTAAAAAATAGCTTTGTTTTGGTTGACTACATGTTTAAGGGCCAGGGGGGGTGAGCGGTGAAAGCGGCTAGGAGTAGGTATCAAATGATTCCGCTAACTCCGCCCCCATTTTATTATCGCATACTTGGCAACTCTGAAAATGAAACCAGAATTAGTGCTACAAAAGTGTATCTTTATTCTTATATTTTACATAATTTTAGAAAAAGATGCGGATACACTCACTGTGCACTGATTGACAAATGGAAATTGTCATAAAATACCTGCTCGTCGCATTTTGACATGACAATTGAATAGAAGCCGCTGATTGGTGGAAAGGTGGAATTCGAGGTGGGATTTATTTTTTTGCAGCGTTGCTAATTTTCATTGAAAAATAATCGCTTTCCACATGTTAGAGAAAGATAAAAAATAACACATGGATTAATAAGTAGTGGGGAGTAATGGGGTTCCTGGCATGTAGTCAACCGATATTATTGTTTATTGTTCTGTCTATCTGTGTTAATAGGTCATTGAGTTTATATTGTTCATTGGGTTTTACATGCGTAGATAGTTGCCACGAGACGGGAATACCTAACTACGTTCTCTCTTGTCTTGTCTCGAGAAGAGACCTTCGATATCGATACGAGAGTAACTAACTACCTTTTTTTTTGGTGGGGAAGTCGTCTGATTAAACTCCGAGTAGCGCTGCAGCCGGAGGCTTATTGTCCTGAATCTTCCTGCAGTAGGCGAAGTAGGTCTGTTCTGTTGGATGTTTGCCGTAGGTACACTGAAAAAATGCTAGTCTTGAACCAAATTAGTCAACTCTCTTGGTAAGGAATTATTAGCGACAAGAGAAAATATTTTCTTATGAAAGCTGCTTACGATCAAGCACTTTTCTTACCTAACTTAAAGAATCTAACTTAGTTGCGCGTACGATCTATCACAACTAAGTTAGAATCTGCCCTCCCCCCTTTCCCCTGCTAAGACACCCGGATTTTTAACTGAGATAACTTAGCTGACCTAAGTTGGCGCGAAGTACACATTTTTTGAATTTTGACGTTTAATAATTTCTAAATTGAGGTTGTTTCTTTATTTTTATTTTGTTGAAAGTTGGTCGTTGGAACAGGAACTTTGAAAAGGTGTTTAGTTTAATGAAATTTATTATTCATTATTGCCATTGCACGCGTCATGACACTTCTAGGTAGATAATTGTTCATTTTTAATGTGAAATAAACTGTGCTGTAGTACAAAAACAATTCAGTTTCAATTTCAATTGAAAATAAATTAATAACAACAACAAACTGAACCTGAAACTCTTGTCGTAACTAGAACCCGAACTAGAAATACGTGACGTGAGTCGTAACTTGATAGGCAGCTGATCAGCCTATATGAATTGCGCGTACGATCAAACAACTTAGCTCAGCTAAGAAACTAACTTTAACTTGGGTAAGAAAAGTGCTTGATCGTAAGCAGCTAATAATATCTATTGCTTGGAGAAAAATGTTCTTAGTTCTAGTAAAATAGCGGGCATAATGTCTGCCCAGCGACTCTGTGTCTACGGGGCAACGGTAAGGGGAATGCAGTTGTAAAAAAAAATGGCTGATTTCATTCATAAAATACCCAGCTGCGTGCGGAATTTTTTGGAAGTGTTATCGTATTGCAACTCCTACACGAAAACCGCCAATGACCAAACCCCCGCCACTGGATATTTCAATATAAATCAATATTCCAAGATGTGAGGATAAAATGACGGAAGCCTTGGCCAATAGCGAGACATAAAGTATCGTTAGCTTATTGACAACGGCATGATTCACCGTGGCAACGGCCATCCTGCCAAAAACTCCACTAATCAGGTTCATCCAGGCCGGATGCTTGCCAAATTGTCAAAAACTAATGGTATCTTTAGAAAATTTATCATTTTTTACAATGGATAAAATTGAAGAAATCAGTTATTAGAATAAGAATAGATCTAACAACCACGTTGAAATATTTATCGTTTTATTGGTATCTATATTTTGTTATTAAAAAATGGATTTTCAAATGAACTTTACTACATGCCTAGTATTTTCGCTTTTTTATAATTAAACGTGACAACATGGCACATTTACGTCCGAATTCCTTCCGTAGACTCAGATCCGCTGGGCAAACAACAGGTAGGTATTAGTGTTTTTTTTTTTATTTTTTTTTTCTTATTTTAGAACACAAACCAGGGGGCGGATTACGAACTCTCGATTCGAACCGAAACCGCCATGGATTTCGAACGCATTCTGATGCATTCGCATGGAGTGCGTTCGAAATTCTTGGCGGTTTCGGTTCGAATCGAGAGTTCGTAATCCGCCCCCAGGTCTAATAACACTATTTTGGAGAACATTTGAGTTGCCGTTAATTTTTATTAAAAAATATAAATTCAGCAGCATTTCAAACTTAAGAAACGTATGACAACATTCATTGAACATAATAAACTGTTGAACAGAGCTCAATTTGGTTTCCAGGCTGGTTTGAACACTGGAGACGCTATTTTTTCATTGCTGGAATCACTCTATCTTAAGGTACGGTTTGTTAGGATAGTACGCGACGCCGACGCACAACTGACAACATAAACGTTGTCATTGGTTCAGATATGACGTACCTACACCAAGCGTACACCCGTTTTCTGACGTCAGAAGACGTGTGTACGTCATACCTGAACCAATGACGACGTTTACGTCGTCAGTTGTGCGTCGCGTACTATCCTAACAAACCGTACCTTTAGGTGTTTCCGATTGGTAGATCTAGTGCGGAACTAGTGCATTTTTTTCTATTTCTGTCTTTCTCTCCTACAGCTCGATTAAAAGAATGCAAATACACTCAGTGCGCACTGAATCTACCCTCTGAGGAATCTACCAATCGGAAACGCCATTTAGATTGAATAACCACGATTCAGCAGCTATTTTTTGTGATCTGTCGAAGGCTTTCGATTGTGTGGACCATAACATTCTGCTGCAGAAGCTAGAGCTCTACGGTTTTAGAGGAATAACAAATAACTGGTTTAGATCATATACCGGGTGCCCACGAGATTATACTTTCCGGCTACCATTTTTTTATTTGTTTATCGTTATCAACGAAACTTGGTAGGATTGATAGTCTAACGAAACGCCATTTTTATGCATCTTTGAGAAGCTTTTTCAACTTCCGGTTA